AAAAATGTCATTTTCATTCATAATTATTAATTTAATACTTGCAACTTGTAAAAAGTTTCAGATTCAACGAGGTTGCATGAAATCCCATGCTCTTGCGTATTACTTATATTCTTACGTACTGAAGATATATATATTTATCTAAATATGTATAAATATTTCTTTCACCGTAAAGCAAATGTTTCTTATTTTAATCCAAAAAATTGTACATTAAACTACTACCTGGTGGTACTATGTCGCCCCGCTCTCTCGTCCAGTAATTAATTGACTTAGGAAAGGCTTCAGATTGGCATTCCAAAGTTACATTTTTATTTTCCACTGCACCGATCAGCTGATTTTGCACTGTTATCATTGGCGGGACTGGAAAACATGTTTAAAATATGTTTATATAGTTAAAAGTTTATTTGAATATTGAGTTGTTTTTAAACACTAAAAATCAAGCTTTTGCAAAGATGAGTTTAGAAGTGTTGAAAAAGGTTATCATTAATAAAAAATATATTATTTTGTAAAATTAACTAAAATCTATTTTTAAAACAAATACAAAAATATTATTATTTCATCTTAAAGAAACATTTTATTTTGTTTTGTTATTGTTCTAATCGTCCGAATAACAAAATTAAGCATTAGAATTTGCAGGTATACTTGCGAATCTGTACACCTGTGCGTATAAGTTACTAAAAAAAAAAATATCTAACACCACAATTTCTATACAAAATCGCCTTTTCGTTCCTCTTTCTGAACAGAAGTGCAAACGAAAATATCATGCAGAAACCCAGATAGTTTGATTGCGATTTTTTGGAAAAAAAAGTTCGATAAATTTGAAGAGTTTTGCGGGTTTGACTAAATTTTTTAGAAAGACAGTGCCATAATTCAATGTTCCAGGGAGACAAATGCGTTTTTAAGAAAACAAAAAGTATTCCAACAAAAAAAAAAAAAATAATATATTGAAAATTTCTGTGATATTCTATCCAGCGGAGTTTATGCTGAAACGCGTCAATTTAACACAGTTAAAGACACAGCCGAGATTTAAAAAATCGATACAAATTACTTCAAGTCTTCAAAAGCAACGAAAAAAAGACAGATTTGTCACAAGTCGTATTTGTAACTGAGGTTATACACTCGTGACCATACAAACCTTACCATGGAAAATTTTCAAGTATTGTGCATATTTGWCTACATTTTATAGCGATCCTGTTTGCAGTATTAAAATTTTTTGTTGAGAAATAAGTTAATGACACGTTACCAATCAAAAACATTAAACATTAAGGAGAAAACAGATTCAGCTATAGATAAATCAATTGAAAGATAGTGAGCTTTAGAAAATGTGCTCGAAATGTAAGATACTGACATGCGATGACTAAACTTTTTTTGTTTATTTTTTTTTTTTTAATTTAATTTCATTTACACTAAATTTGAAATTTATTTTTTTTATATATTGTTGTTTAATTGATACACGAATATTAGTGGGTGTATCACTTTAAATACAATAAAATCGAAACGAAAATAAACGAACGAAAATGTCTGAAAAAAATTATGAAAGTATAGTGGTAAGGTTTGCATGGCCACGTGTGTAAAAATTGCTCGCTTAAAACCAATAACTAGAAATTACAGATTATTTTTTTATTATTTATATTTTTTCTATTAGTAATAAATATTGATAACTAATATAGATTTTCAACTAACAGAAATGCATTTTAAAAGGTAAAAAATAAAAATAAAAGATGTGTTTATGGATTTTCGTAGCCAAAATTCTTCACCGAAATTATTATTATTTAAATTTTTATTTAAAGTAACATTTCCATAGTAAGTTCACCTCATCAACGACAACATTATTTAGTAATTAAGGCAATATTTCATTAATTTTATTTTTTTTATTCAAACACCACACTTTTGCTTTAATATTGACCTCATTATTAAATCGTAATCGGGAATTTACTTTCTATACATTTTCGTATAAAGCCAAGCAAGCTACAAAATCATAAAACATTGTCACTACAATTTTTATATAACACGTTGACTAATGTGCTTTTTGTGTAGTGTTAGCTAAAGTAAACGAAGGTWTGAAAATTTATTCCCCTGTAAGACGATTACGTATTAAATGTTTCTTGTTTTCATATACTCGCGTATACACAAGATCACTCATACGCAGTGGTGTTCATATTTATAAATTTCAAAAAGTCAATAAATAATGTATGTACTTTATATACATATTCGAAACTACTTCATACTTACAATGCACTATTAACGTTATGCGTTTGCTCACCGATGGCGGCACACCATTCGATGCTATGCATAAGTATGCGCCCATATGCTGACGTTTCACACGCGGCAGAACCAAAGTTACACCCTCAACGCTCAGCACTGAAATAAAAAATTTATTTAAATTGAATTTAAAAATAATCATAAATCAGTTCAAAGTAATCACTAAGCATAAAAGTTTGCATAAATCTTTATACGAATGCTTCAAAAACTGCTCATTTACACCAAGGGGCGTCTCTGTAAATATTCTCAGGCTTATATTAATTATGATATTTTCATAAACAAAATACTTATGACAACTTTAAGTCATATATATTCATTCCTTGCATGCAAAATATTTACGTGAATCTTTTGCTACTTGTGCTAGTTTCCGATATTTTTATCGCCCAAGATATGGTGGAAAGTTTGGTAGGCCCTCTGAATGTCTGGAAATATACTTTGCATGACTAAGTGTCTGAAACTCCTAGCGCTCATAAATATAATCTGAACATTTGAGTATAACGTAAACAAACAAGTAAGATTATACGAGATGTGTTCAGAATATAACTGTCTATTTTCTTTATTATATTAAATAATAAAACACCTCCCTGAAGTAAGATGCAATTTTAGGCTGTTATGCTTGGCGATTTTCATTTGGTTAAAAAATTGATTCCAACATTTTTATAAAACTTTCGTAAAAAATAAAATGAAGTATAACAAAATGTTAGCAAAGGCATATGATGAGTCAAGAGTTTTTGAATATAGGTAGAAGAGTCCAAGCTGGCCGTGGAGACGTTGAAGAAGACGAGCAACCTGGACGCCTCAGCACATCAACCACCAATGAAATGTGGAAAAAGTAAAAGCAATGGTGATAAATGATCGCCCAATGACAATCAGAGCAGTCGCTGGTGATGTTGACATATCGTTTGGCTCATGCCATGAAATTTTTTCGAATGTTTTTGGGTGAAGAGCGCGTGCCACTTGGCCCACCGAGCCCGAAATAGATATGAAAAGTACACTTAAAGGTTATGCTTATTGTGTTCTTCGAATTCAATGCATAGTGCATCATGAATTTCTTCCTCAACGTCAAACTGTCATAAAGGTGTGGTAGAAGTTCTGGGCCATTTGCATGATGCTATTCATGTATTTTGCATCACAATAACGCATTTCCCGTACTACTTCATTATTTACTTGTGAGTTCTTAGCCAAAATCAATACTTCAACAAAGTCGCAGCTTTCCTGTTCACCAGAACTAACTTAATGTGTCTTTGACTATATCCAAAAATAAAAATAACATCCAAACAGGCGGCCCTGTTTTACAAGATGATGAAAATTCCTGAAAAAATCTTTACTGGCCGCAGTTTTTCTTGGTCAATGAAAATACCTGACAGCGCTAACTTCTATCTCAAATCGATTTTGAGAAGTGTTTTACTATCAAAAGAAGCGCTGGAATGAGTGCATAGTATCGAGTGAGAATCGTTTGAAGTCAACAATAGTATAGGCGAAAATTTTTTTTTCTTTTTAAACGAAAATTTTCGTTATTGTTTTATCCCGAATTGCTAGTTTTTTGCTAGTCGGTTAACGCACTTTTAGTGATTTTCAACATAACCTWTGTATGGGAGGTGGGCGTGGTTATTATCCGATTTCTTCCGTTTTTGAACTGTATATGGAAATGCCTGAAGGAAACGACTCTATAGAGTTTGGTTGACATAGCTGTAGTAGTTTCCGAGATATGTACAAAAAACTTAGTAGGGGGCGGGGCCACGCCCACTTTTTCAAAAAAAAATTACGTCCAAATATGCCCCTCCCTAATGCGATCCTTTGTGCCAAATTTCATTTTAATATCTTTATTTATGGCTTAGTTATGACACTTTATAGGTTTTCGGTTTCCGCCATTTTGTGGGCGTGGCAGTGGGCCGATTTTGCCCATCTTCGAACTTAACCTTCTTATGGAGCCAAGAAATACGTGTACCAAGTTTCATCATGATTTCTCAATTTTTACTCAAGTTACAGCTTGCATGAATGGACGGACGGACAGACGGACGGATTTCAACTCTACTCGTCACCCTGATCACTTTGCTATATATAACCCTATATTTGACTCTTTTAGTTTTAGGACTTACAAACAACCGTTATGTGAACAAAACTATAATACTCTCCTTAGTGACTTTGTTGCGAGAGTATAATTAGTGGAAAATACTACCAACATTTTATCACCAAAATGAAAGATTTGTTAATCGATATAAATATAATTGGACATATTGGACATATACACCGTTTCTCCACAACTGAATATGTATTATAACTATAAATTTCAAAAGCAAATAAAAATTTATATATGCTAATATTGTAAAGCGGTCGAATTGTCCCAAAATTGAAGTTGATATTGTCAGCTATTAAGTTGCCATGAAACTYGCATGCCGAAARTCGACCTTTTCCATGTTAGCTGTTAAGCTTTTTATGGAATTCCTCCAGCTGACAATAAAAACGGAACCCAAATGACATTAGAGTACTTTATTGCATACAAGCAAACATTTACACAAACAAATATAACTTAGTGCCCACTTAATAGCTATATAGTTAGTTGTTGTGAAATGAATTTGGAAAATATTATTTTTTCTCTGCAGTGCCCATATGGGGGGAGTAGCACGAAAAGAGCAAACTTAACAACAAGTGCATAATGGCTATAATAACAGTTGGCATAGTTTTGGCCAAACCATAAATGCATGTGTGTATGTAAGACGGCGGCTGCATTTGTGCAGGCATGCCACGTACTCGACAAATACAAAACAAAACCACTGAAAGCTATTTGAATGGCTGCAATGAGTGGATTATGACTTGCTAACAAGCTGCCACAGAAATGCATGTGCTTTGTACATTTGTACATACATCAACATATAATCATGTAGTAAGTTTGCATCGTATATATATATATCACATATGTATATATCGTATATACATATGTATATAGGTATTTAGCCAATTATAAATGCAATTTTGTTGTTGTTTTGTGTTTTTTCGCCAGCTTTATTGCGTCTAAAGCCATCGAACTTTGCAGTACTTTGCGATAAATGTTTGAGTGCTTTGGATGAGACAAATTCGTGTGCAAATTTTATCGGTTTTATGGAATATGTGYCACCAATATTAGTATATTCATGTACTAAACTTGCTTATGTATTAGTTAGATTTTCTCAAGCAAAATAGAAAACAATTTCCTTTTAATCTATTAGACTTATGATTTTTTCTATTTTGAAGAATAAAAAAACAACCCACGTTTTATTAAAAAATTAAAAAATACAAAAAATAGAAATACATGCTATGTATATAAAATCAAAATTATTGGGTCTATAACAATATTTAGCTACGTTTTTGAATTCTTTCTCCCGATTTGTTGACTCCATCCAAAAGGAGCTTTTTGCTACCTTTTCTGATGTGAGTGTGTTCTTCATCGACTGGAACAAATGGTTCATAGAAGGTCCATGGACTGGGGCTGTAAGGCGAATGAGGCAAAACTTCCCAGCTCCTGTTTCCCAAATAATTTTTCAGCTCTTAACGACTGATAAAAAAGTTTCCAGAAATTGTAAATAAAACGCAAAATATTTAGTTATTAGTATTTTTTTTGTCGCTTTCAAAGTAGCCCCATCACTTGTTATACATGTTATACATGTATGCCAATAAGTTTTTCAGTCCTTGAAAATTTGTATAAGCACTTTTCAGGACGGTCTTCAGCTCCTTCAACGAATTTTTTTTTTCTTTTTGATCCACTGAAAAAGGATACAACGAAATGGCAGTTCCAGTGGTTTCCAATTCGGTGACAATCGTTGCTCGCTTTGTTGGGACGAGTCGAGCATTAACGCGTTTCATACCCAAAATATCCATCAAAATCATTTGAAAGGACTCGCGCAAGATGTCGAGCACTCTTACCATCTTTTTAGCACTTGACTGACAATTTTCAAAC